ATAAAAAAGCATGAACGGTGATAGGTTTGGGTTGTTGATAGGTTATTATTGGTTATGGGTGTTGATTACCTTATAGGTGATAAAGAATAATGTTGTTTATAACCATTTGAGACTTTAGAATTTATCTAAAAGCAAGAGAATGGGTTATTGGGTGTAGAAACACCATTAATAAGGGCTATGAAGCTTTATGCCACCGAGTGTTTGATAAAATGCCTAAGTGACCAAAACATGGCTATTGTTGCTAATTTGGAATCTCTTTGACTTGTATTGATATAGATTAAAATTGAAAGAGTTGGTGAATGTTGTATTATGCTCAAGAGCAGGAAGTTAAGGTATGTGAGGCTAACTCTCTATGTTTGGGAATTTAATGATTCTCCCTACACTACGTTTCTTTTACGACGTATCAATTGCCTCAGAAATATAGTTAAGCCTAGTTCCTTGAATAGTTGTAGAACTTCTATTCTCTAGCTTCATAACTCGTTCATGACTTTCATTCTGAACGTTGTGAGCTCAGTTCGTATTCAATATAGACTTGGGCTTGATGCCCCTAAGTCTCAGTATAGCTTACTCAGCATGTCATAAACAATTGAAGTTTCAGTGTTCACAACCAATTCAACAATACATGTCTCATTCTAGTCCTATTCAGTATTCCAGTATTATGTAACTCAGTATGATTCGGTATTCCAGTATAATGTAACTCAGTGTGATCCAGTATTCCAGTATAATGTAACTCAACGGAATTCAGTAATTCAATATTATGTATTGTAGTATGATTCTCAATTCCTAATTTTAAATCCCTGAATGTCGAACACCTTATTTGGGCCTGAGGCCACAGTTAATGCTTTATGCATCTTTGGGCCTGAGGCCGCAGTTAATACTTTATGCATTTTTGGGTCTAAGGCCGTAGTTTATGCTTTATGCATCTTTGGGCCTGAGGCTGCAGTTTATGCTTTATGCATTTTGGACCTGAGGTTGCAGTTATGTATACGTATACTTGGGCCTGAGGTCGCAGTTTGTGCACATATATATTAGGCCTGAGGCCGCAGTTTAATATTGAGATAAACAGGTTGTTCATCATTCAGAAGAGGGAGTATTCATATCGTTACTTCCTTTCAGTTCAATTATTAGTTACCGTTCAGTTATCAGCTATCATATCAATTACCAATTATCAGTTCAATTATCAGTTATCAGTTCAGTTATCAGCTATCATATCAATTACCAATTATCAGTTCAATTATCAGTTATCAGTTCAATTATCAGTTATCAGTTCAGTTATCAGCTATTAGTTATCAATTATCAGTTATCATTTCAGTTTCAGTTTGAATAGTTATCATTTCAGTTATCAATTATAAATTCTCAATTATCAGCTTAGTTTCATTTTCAACATTTATAATTCTTTCTTTCAGTTTCTTTACATACCAGTACACTTAAAATATACTAACGTCCCGTTTGCCCGGGGCCTGCATCTCACAATACATGTAATGATTTACAGGTTGATGATTCCGAGCGCTAGTATTCTCGTACCAGCTATTTGGTGATCCCAGTTCTTCCGGGGCATTATCATTACTACAGTCTTCAGTATTCACATACACTCAGTGTTTTCAGTACTCAAATAGAGGCTTCATAGACTAGAGTAACAGTTACATAGATCTCAGACTTTTCATATTAAGCTATGGTGGCTACAAATATGTTTCAGAATTGTAGTAGTATTTCCGCACTTTGATTTATATCATCCAGACTTTCAGTATATCAGCAAGTGTTAGTTTATCTTCTGCATTCAATATGTTATGATACCACATGTTGATTCAGCCAGTCAGTTGGTTCGCTCGGTCACATGTAGTCAGGCATCGAGTGTCGTGTTACGTCCAGGCCCAGGTTCGGGGCGTGACACCATGTCACCTCTCCTTGAATGTATCGCGTTAATGCGTCCATCGCTAAGGAAAATATAAATGGGCTAAAAGCTGATCCACGATGCAACCCCATCACAACCGGAAAGTGTTCTGAGTTTTATCCTGCCGTCCTAACCCGAGTCTTATCATACATGTCCTTAATCACCCTAATATAGACTACTAGAACCCCTTTAGCTTCCAAGCATCTCCAAAGCACCTCTCTCGGGACCTTGTCATAAGCTTTTTCTAGGTCAATGAACACCATATTCAAGTCCTTCTTCATCTCCCTATATCGCTCCACCAATCTCCTCACCAGATGAATATCTTTCATAGTCGAACGCTCTGATATGAAACCGAACTGGTTCTTAGAAATAGACATACTGCTCCTCACCCTCACTTCAACCACCCTCTCCCAAACTTTCATCGTATGGCTAAGCAGCTTAACCCCCCTATAATTATTGCAACTTTGGATATTGCCCTTGTTCTTATACGACGAAATTATCGTACTCCACCTCCATTCTTCAGGCATCTTCTTCGTCCTAAAAATGATATTGAACAGCCTAGTGAGCCATTCTAAACCAGCCATATCTGCATTCTTCCAAAATTCTAATAGGGATTTCGTCTAGCCCGATTGCTCTACCCATGTGCATCTTGTGCATAACCCTCTCGACCTCATCTACTCTTATGCGCCTACAATACCTGAAATTTCGGTGATCCTCGGAGTGCTCCAAATCGCCCAGCACAATATTCCTATCTCCCTCTTCATTTAGGAGTTTATGGAAGTATGTCTGCCATCTTCGTCTAATCTGAGCCTCTTCCATCAAAACTCTACCTTCCTCATCTTTGATGCACTTAACTTGATCCAGATCACGGGCCTTCCTCTCTCTCACCCTGGCTAGACTGTATAACTTCCTGTCTCTGCCTTTGTCCCCAAGCTTTTCATGTAGATGCCCAAACGCCGCAGTCTTAGCCACCGTAACCGCTAACTTCGCCTCTTTCTTAGCCCTCCTATAACTCTCCCTGTTCATCCTCTTTGCCTCCCCGTCCATGCTCTCTACAAGCTTCAAGTATGCCACTTTTTTAGCTTTCACTTTCTCTTGTACCTCCTCACTCTATCACCAGTCACCTTTGTGGCCGCCAGAGAAACCCTTTGAGACCCCTAACAGCTCTCTCGTAGCTAATCTAATACACTCAATTGTCGTGGTCCACATACAGCTCGCATCCCCACTGATCCTCCAGGCTCCCATAGCCAGCGCCTTCTGCCCCAACTCTTGTGCTTTGTCATAAGTCAAGGCACACCACCTGATCCTAGGTTGACCATACATATCCCACTTCTTCCTCTTCCTCACGATCTCTAAGTCCATCACCAATAACCTATGCTGAGTCGTTAGATTCTCGCTTGGGATAACCTTGCAATCCATGCACAGACTCCTATCACACTTCTGGAGGAGTAGATAATCAATTTGAGTCTTGGCCAACGAACTCTGGAAGGTGACCAAATGATCTTCCCTATTCGAAAAACATGATATAGCAATCACCAAATCAAAGGTTTTAACACAGTCCAACATCGAAGTACCACCTCCGTTCCTAACTCCAAAACCAAAGTTGACATGCACACCATCATAACCCCATAGGTCACCTCAATATGACTATTGAAATCTCCTCTTATGAATAACTTCTCGGTGTGCGGAATGTCACGGACCAACCCGTCAAGGTCTTCCCATAAACGCCTTTTAACCTCCTCGTCCAAACCCACTTAAGCCACGTAAGTACTACTCACATTTAAAGTATACCCTCCCACAACTAGCTTAATAGCCATCAGTTTGTCCTTCACCCTCCTAACTTTTACTACTAGCACCCTAAGATCCCTGATAATCAAGATACCTACCATGTTCTTACCCCTCTCGTATCCTGAGTACCACAATTGAAACCCATCCTCATCTCGAGCCCTAGAACCCACCAATCTAGTCTGCTGGACACACACTATATTGATCTTCCTCTTCTGGAAGATCTTTGCTAACTTTATCGACTTCCACGTCAAAGTACTTATATTCCAGGACCCAATTCTTAGTCTAACATATCCCTTGCCACCTTTGCCCCCCGTCCCCCTCTTCCCCCAACCCACACGAGGACATGACCTTATTCTACCATCATTAATCCCAACCACTACAATATGAGGACAATTATGCTAAACCTATCTTTTAAATAGGCAAAATTATTAAACTAAAAGAGGCAGATCTAAGACTTAAGTTCTATCCACTAATTATGTGTAATAGAAAAACAAACAAGCAAGAATTCAAGTTTTTAAAGTTTGCTGGTCAAAATTTTAAAGTTTATTGGTTAGATTTTTAAAATATAAATCGCTAGAGTTTTCACTTTTCAGCCATAATAACAAACAACAACAAATTCGGTAAAATTTTACAAGTGAGATCTCGGGAGGATAGTGTATACCAAAATCTTACCCGTATCCTGGGAAGGTAGAGAGGCTAGAGTTTTAAGCCATAATATAAACAATTCTAGTGATCTATCTGAATTTTATGTCAACTGTACAAAGCTATGCAACAGTCAAAATTTTATGACAACCACTATAACTTGCAAAATTATGGCAACTCTCATTAAATTCTGTCTCGAGGCTATATTCCCAAGACTTTACTTATCGGGTCCAAATTTAAATGGTGCCACCAAATAATTCTATTTGTGTCGTTCTCCTATTTTTCTACCTCTTTTGTGGGCACACTTGGCCTGACATATTGATGAACTAAGGCCATTTGTTAGCATTCGACTTTTGGGAATTAAGTCATCTTTGATAGACAGTGTTTTATTGTGAATTGTAATTTTTTGGTGTGAATTTAAATTATTTTACCCTTAGAATGCATACCAAATTCTGAGTGAGAAACTAAAGAATGATATCTCGTAGCACAAGGAAAAAAACACTTTTTTTTTTTTGTGGGTAAAATTGAACATAAATTCTTTAATTTCTTATAATTATAATTTATATATTCTGAAAAGTCAGAAAATATAGATTATAATAATCAATAATTTTAAAAATTTAGAAAATATTAAAAAAATAGTCAAAGCAAAACGGCTTTTGACCTTTCAGGCGATTTCACTTGTCAGTATTCCATAATTTGTCACTGTTCTTTACAACTTACGAACTAAGAAAGTTTAAAGCTGAGAAGTGAGAAAGGAGAATAGCGGAAGCTATAAGCAAAAAAGGATTTACGCTATGCCCCCAAGGAAAGAACCCTGCAGAAATTTCTTGCGTGGCAGGTATAAATTTTTATTTTTTTGGCTTCAAATTACATTCACATACTTTATTTGTTATTATGTCCATGTATTTTAGGGTTCTTGATAAACCCCTTTACAACCTGCATTTCAAAATTCTTGATTTCCATATATGTTATATATAGAAGTAGAGTTGGTGTAAAGTCAGCATAAAATTATATTTTTTGAATTTTGTATTGGAGGGCTTGAATTGAGGGGAGTGTAATTAGAGAATTTATTTAGATGGCCCCGACTTGTTTAGGATTAAGGCGTAGTTGATTGATGGTTGTACTCCTCTTTATCGTAATGGCTGAATGATCATTAGGTAGTATAGCCTGTGGTGGAACCAAAAACTTATACAAGGGGATTCAAAAATATAAATTAGGATGTCACAGTTGGGATTTAAACACATGACTGAAGCAACTTTTGAACCCCATTCACTATAATATTTGAATTTTTCTTCATGTCAAGGGGATTCAATAGCTCACATATAAGCAAAAAAATATCATTTTTACCCTATTTGCATAGTGTAATTTTTCGATGAAAGGTGTAAGCCCCTTCACCCTACTTAGTTCCACCACCGAGTAGAGCCTTGAGCTTCAAGCTTTTCTCGTCTCTTTGTTCTTCTTGGATTGGCAATTTGTTTAATTTCAATTAAGAAATTTATGTTGGGGGTACAGAATTATATTAGTTCATGTATGGGATTGGCTAAAAGTTTAGCTTTTGTTTTGTTTGATATGGCTTCAATAAGTCTGTTACTTCTCTCCTGAACCAAAATTTTTTCTGAACAATGTTAATATTGTTTTCCCATGAGATGATTTAAATGGAGTAACGTAGTTAGTGAGGATTCATATAGCCGAACCCAACTTGTTTAAGATTGAGGCGTAGTTGTTATAGTGTTAAACTGTTAATACTGTTTCCAGTGAAATAGAAGGGAAAGAAGAAAACTGAGAAAAGACAATGTATTTCATATCGTGATGTTTATTATATATTGTCTTATTTTCATTTCCTATTGTGTCTTATTTTCATTCTCTTTTCCTTTCTTCACCATGAAGTTCAAGAATGTAAAATAAACCCTAGCTTTGATGGTATTTATTTGGCTGCCAATGTAAATTTAGGGATTTGGAATTGTGTTATGGTGTCTACAGTGGGACTACTTGGGGAGTGTGTGGGTTGTGGGGCCGGTGGGGGGGGGGGGGGTGTTGCATTTCTTTTCCTTATTACATAATATTGACCAAAGATGAATAATGATTGGTATGATATTCCATCTTAGAACTTAGAGAAAGGGTTCTATCTGTGATGTCTTCGAGAGTAAAAATGACCTGCTTAACTTAAAAACCAGTGTTAAGGCTCATTTAAGGCGCTTAAGCCCTGAAGCTCAAAAAATCTCAGGGAGGGCACTTCACGTCGCTTAAGTTGTGCTTCATCCTAAGGCAAGGCACTACGACATGCACCTTAGTGCCCTTGATTTTTGTCGTAAATCAAGCGGGTATGAAACAACAAACATAATCGCAAAGGAAAACATTGTGAATGAATTTGTTATTTTGTTCTTGAATTACACATCTGTATATATATTTCTCCTTTATTGCGCCTTTTCTTTTTAACTAAAGCCCACACTTTAAGTGCGCTCTGCGTTTAAAGTCCCAAAAGACCTAGAGCGCTTTTTAGAATTTTTCGCCTTTGACAACACTGCATAAAACATAGAAAGTATTATTCAGATTAGTAGTTTTTGTTGTTGTTGTTGTAGTTTTCGATTGAAGTTGAGTCATCCTTGTTTTGATTAGGTTCCTTTGTGAAAGTATGTAGAACAGGATCTGATCTTTGTCTTATTCATCCAGCTGTCAATATGGGGAACGTTGTAAATTTCTTCATGTTGCGCAACAACAGCCGAAGCCAAATCCATTTGGGTTTGGCAGCCAGCCCTCTAATTTTCAGAGTACGAATCTGCAGCAGACAAAGTCCAACCCTTATGGTTTCGGTGTTCAGAACAACTTCCAGCCTAGAGGGTCCAACGATCTGGGGCCCAAACAGAGTCAATATAAGGTACTTTAGCTGTTACTCTCTCTATATAGCTAGTTGCTGCAGATATATAATATTTATTTACTCCCTCCAGCCCAAAAAGGATGATACTTTTTGAATTTCGAGAATCAGACGAGTTGTTCTTTGACCGTGGTTTTTCATTTGTTTTTTTAAATATTTTGACTTGTTAATTATTGTGATATATAGTACTTTTTATGTAGTTTTCAAATATGTGAATCTTATTTCAAAAAATTCAAGATTTTATGTCCGAATTTGAGGTCAAAATTAAGAATTTTGACTCTCGAAATCCGAAAAGTATCATCCTTTTTGGGATGGAGGTAGTATTTATTTAATTTAAATACTATGCTTTCCCAGTACCATTTTGAGGAGACTTCACACCTTATACTCAATTTACCTGCTAATACATGATAAAGGATAATGTTTCTCAAGAACCTTTAGTCCTGGACGCTAGAACTCATATCATTCTTTATCTTTATGTCTCAGCGCAAGTGTTCACGTGTTGCTAGTGTTAGATGGTAGTACTTTTAGAAGTTGAAGAAATGATGGCGAGCCATAAAGATAAAGAATTGGAAGAATTAGAAGTATGAAGAAATTCATTTTATTAGTTTTAAGGACAGGCCTTGTATTTTCTTAAATATGTATTAATAAGAATGTAATATTTTGGGGTATACCATATAAAAAAAGGAACGCCGATTTTGGCTGAATGATGTAACAGCCCTTTTCATTTATTGAAAAAGAACAATCATTAGCAAGACGTGCTAGGTAATTTCATATGCTGTTTGAAGCTTTTCTTTAAAAGGCTACCTTTTGATTTCAGCAAAAGGAAGAATGTCACTGATGCTATCTTCAAACGAAAAAATCACATGAATCTAAAGTAAAAGGTTGGTCAATTGGAACTTATGGAGTTAACTATTTTTTCTTTAATATAAGTTTGTGTAGCTTAATACTTATTGTTTTGTTTTTGTGGTAACTACAGTTTTCTACTCCTAATAGTTACATACTGGCCAATCAATATCTGTGTATGGTTTTGCTGGAACTTCTGTATCATACCTTTATCTGATTACATGACATATTTATGTAATACTAGGTATTGACTTGTGCATGAGTATGTGTAGGTTCAATTCTATCCAGTTTTCTAGGTTCTATGAAGAATTAAATTGAAGATAGATTAAGGCTGTATTGTGGTCCGGGCCCGGGCCAAACGGGCCTGGGCTTTAGGCGGGCCGGGCTGAGGCGGTCCCTGGCCAAATGGTCCCGGGATTCACGATCCCAATGTGTGGAACCGGCCCACGGTGGTCCTAAGCCCACATGGTCCCGGGCTAAATGGGCCGGGCCTGCGGGCCTAACGGGCTTTTTTCGTTCCGGGCTANATGCACCAATAGAGACCGGACCCGCTTGAACCGGCCCGTTTGGCCCGCGGTCCTGGGCCGTGCCCGGACCACAATACAGCCTTAAATAGATGTTGCATATTAACTATCTTTTGTCGAAAATGATGCATATTAACTTTGTTTATCTTCTCTTTTGTTTTTAGCCTTTCGAAAATAAGTGGACTCGTTCTACGAGTACCAATAGTTCTTCATCGCGGCAATCTGACAATCAGCCTGTAGCACCTAATCACACGTGAGTTCTTTGTGGCACAACCCTTTCTGTTCTGCATTAAGCTTTATGGTTTGAATGGAACTAATGGTTTGATTCTTCTACATGTGTAGCTGCACAGATTCTGACTCATGCAGACGCCAGATTATGGAAGATTTTAATAATGAGAAGCCAATGTGGTTGCTTACATGCTATGGTCATCGAAAAAAGTATGTTCTAGATCTTATCTTCACTTGACGCACTTTGCTAAATTATCTTGCCTCATACTTTGAGTTTCTCTCATGAATAAGATCTAGTGAAGATTATGCCATTTTTGTTTGGCGAGTCATCCAGCTTCTTTAATTAGTATTAAGATCCCCAACCCTCTCATTTATTTTCCAATTTAAATACTCATCCAGCTTCTTAAATTATTATTGGAAGTTAACGAAATGGAAAAATGAAGATCTCTAACCCTTCACTTTCGTTTGCCAATTTATTTACTTAGATCTCTTTTACTACTCAAACAACGAATCGTGCATTAATACAAATACTAGTTTAATTTGTTATTTGTGTTTTTCATCAACTATTATACCCATATTTGTTCTTCTAACTTGTAATTGACGACCTGGTAACTGACAGTCTTTTGGAGATGACAATTTTTCAAACCTTAGACTCCTAGTCGGAGGAACTTTGGTTGGAGAACTGATTCCATCTTCCCCTCTTGCTATCCATGTTTTTCAAACTAAACTATTGTACGAAGTTCCCTTGTTGCAACTCTTCTAGAGAGAGTGTACTCTTAGTTTCTACTCTTTCTCTATTCTGAAACTAAAAGGAAAACAAAAAGAAGCAAAATTTTATTTTATGGACCCCTGCATATATCTGGTGGGCTTAGGTTCAAGTTCTATCTGCATTGCCTGTTTCATGAACTAGTAGATCATACAGATTGATCAAGAACTGCAACTTCTTTTGTATGCAGCGGTCCATGTGATGTTATCGGTGATGTTAGCTATGATGAGCTACGAGCAGCAGCATATGATGATGCAAAACGTGGACAGAGCTTGATGTCTATTGTAAGACACCACCTTTGCTGCCTTCTTTTGCTCTGTATTCTTGGCTGATAATGTTCGATGCAATTGAAAATTGTTGGTTTCATATCTGTATATATGCCTTAAATGGAACTTGTTCTCAAAATTCAAGCAAAGAATTTTATCTTATCGGGAAGGAAGACTTCTAAGTGAAGCAGAGTGCTTTAGATTAGTTAGAAAGAGGGATACATTAACATGATCACGTTTTTCCTCTTCCATGACCTGGTTGAGTTTTCTTTTCTTCCTTCCTCCCCTGAAAATATGTTGAGAGAGGAGCGAGTTCACTTTGAGTAATGATTTCTAAAAATTTTGCAGTTTGTTTTTTGGGAAGGATAATGATGATACTTTGATATGCTTAGTGCAAATGATAGATTTTCGTAGTGCTTTTTTGATAAGGACTATCTCAGACTTTCACCCACGCTCTGTTATATTTTACAAACAAAAAGACACTTTCCATTTAAAGAGTAGACCATTTCTGCCCTTTGCCTCCAACTTAGCAAACGGAATCCTTGTTGACATTTATCATTATTTATCATCGACACATAAGCTGACGCGTGGATGACATGTATGCTGACACGTAAGGCCTTAGAAAACTTGTCAGCAGAAGCTAAACCTCCAAAGCCTCCTCTTTAGACTGTTATTTGTAGTCTCAAGTTTCTCAACCCCAAGCCTCCCTTTCTACTGGCTTCATCACCTTTTCTCATTTTGCTAGGTCATACTTGAACCTTCCCACTTGAGCTAGATGTATCTGCCTTAATTTCCCAAGTGGATTTTCCGAGTTAGAACAGACTACAGTTCCATTGCTGCTTCCATATGAAATTCTCACCTTATCTTGGCTCACTTCTTTTACTATCCAGGGAAAGATAATAATTGCTGTTTCAGATTTGTATAGGTTACTTTGCACCGATTCTCAGTAGACCTTTTGCTAGGGCTGGAACTGGCTTGGTGCCAATCTTTGACTATCTCATTACTTATCAGTAAACTCTATCATAGTCTTCGTCTAAAAGCATCTTATGGTCTTGCTTCTAAGTTTTTAACAAACTGTTTTCTGTCATCGTGTTAATGTAGGTTGAGAGAGAGAGGAACATGCTTAATTCTAAAGCAGCTGAATTTGAAAATCTATTACGGAACTATGTAGCTCCATCAACTTCTGTTCCTAATGCTCAAAGTCCTTTTCCTGGTGCCGCGCCAAATGCCTCGTTGAGTGCTCAAAGTCCTTTTCCCGTTACAACGCCGAATGCCTCATTGAGTGCTCAAAGTCCTTTTCCGGGTGCCGCACCAAATGCATCATTGAGTGCTCAAAGCAGTTTTCCTCCTTCAGCCTCAAGTTTTAGTCAGTTGGGAGCTTTACTGAATACAGGGTTAGAACTGATGCAGGGTATTACCTACATTAGTGCATTTGCACTAGAGCTTTTGGCTTCTTAGTAATTTTTTTTATTTAACAGGGCATCTGCTGCACCAACTAATACATTTGGGCAACCCAGTCCCCTTGGGAACTCTGTTAAGACATCATCAAGTTCTTCTGGGGCGAATGCTTTTTCATTTGGGAATGCAGGTGATTTAACGCGGTTTTCAAGTGTTATCAATTCTTGATTATGCATTTTATTTAGCTCGACTTTGTTTGCAGGATCAGGTTCCTTTGGCTTCGGAAGCCAAGTTACTTCCCAGTCACATCAAAACCCTTTCACTCCCAGCAATATTTCAGCAAGTTCCGAGAGGAATCCATTTTCTACCTCAATTACCTCGCAACATTTTCCTAATCCCTCTGGCGGCCAACTACCTACTACTCCTCAGGGGAATTTTTCTGCTTCAGTTGCGGTGTCCCCTGTCAACATCAACTTGACGTAATTTCCAGTAGTTACTTAACTTACCATAATTATTATATTTAGACTCTTGAGAATTAAATCATCAAATATTTCGGTTTTTTCATTTTCTGTTGAAATGGTAACTTACTGATGAGGTCCTTTGGGGAGTTCTTGTTTTGCAGGAATGCTGCATCGACCGAGGAATTCAGTGGGGATAACAGCATTTGGGCAAAGAAGGAATGGAAAATTGGGGAGGTAAGCTCGTAACATATTTTCCTTGATTTGGGCAATTTTGAATCAAGAGAGTTTATAGAAAACACTAAATATAAAAGTAAAAATTACTTTCCTTGAAGATGGAGAAGATGGTGCATCTGCAAGCATGTCTACCTATGTATTTGATTTAATGTTAGCGTAAAACAACAATATTTATAACATATTAAAGAATTCCATCGTTCATGTTTTTTAATTCTTGTTGTTTTTTCAGATTCCAGAAGAAGCACCCCCAGACAAATATATCTTTTAGGACTTTTTCTGGCACCTGCCTATTGAAGGTTGTCACTGTAAATTAGATACAGAAGAAACTTCTTTTTCGTGGCGTGGTTAATTGTTGCAACAGCAGAGAATGTTGGAGATAAGATGAAGTTCCTACGTCGTTATTCTTGTGCAAAGGGTCTTACTATATCTTCTTCTCCCTTTATACACTTCCAGAGAGGGGTCAAATATCGTTTTCTCAGCTGTTGAAAGGGTTGTAATATCATCAAGTTGTCAGCTTGTATAAGCTATCAGTTGTGTGACAAGAAAATGTGGGATCAAATTCATTTTAGTTTGTAGGTGAAAAGAGGAAACAAGAAATTGATAAGATCAGTCGCGATATTTTTTTAGTACTGTTATTTGAGAAGGTATAGTAGTGGCTACCCAAATTGCATTTACTAAAAGTATCAAAATTTTGTTTTCTCAAGTTGCCAATTCATTTGCATTGTATTTTCTCTTTCTTGGATGTACAAATTAGAGCAACTCATAACCTCACTTTACCAATATGCGTCAAGAACAATCTTCACTAGCTTGTAGCAGTAACTCTGCTACAGATTTTGATACTGTAGATTTGTACAGCAACATGATGTTCTGCTCAGAGGTAGTAAAATGTGTGCTGTGCTGTGCTGTGCAGTGCAGTGCATACTCATGAAAATACTTTCACCAATATATAATAAGCATACAGACGCTCTGTTACCAAGTTTAAGAGCTATGAAGACGCGTAATTCAGACAAGATTCACAACAAAATGATTAAACGACCTTCATAGCTGGTAATGACAGTAACACCAGAAAGCCATTAACTTGTACTGATTTTTGATTAAGGTCCAATGGAAAAAGACAAGGCAATTGCAGGACTATAATATTCAGTTGCATAACAGCCTTGAATATCATAACTCTTAACTGTCTTATCATCTTCTACTAACTCCCACTTTGGCTGTTTGGGTCTATTCACCAATGCAGACCATTATAAGCCTTGAAATCACCTGCTTCCAACTGGAACTAGTCTTCAATCTAGTTGGTCAACCTTAAACAGCAGTTGACATGTACCCGTTTCACGGTAGTGGAACAAAAACATCAGAAAGTTTAAAAAATAGGATTTGTTCTGGATGCACAAGGAGAAGATGGAGATAATAATTCTCTTTCAGCTCTTACTAGCATTAGGGGACACTTCAGTCTTGTTGTCTGTCGCAGTGGTAGTTCGTGCTGAAGGAGGCACGTAAATTCTTGCTCTTTTCAATATTTCAGCAACAACCCAGTGCTTACGCTTGCTCAGTGGTCTTGAATGATCCAACTTAACCTGAAATTGGAATTTCATCCAGTGCTCAACATCTTGTTCACAGATTACACCAAATCTAGCTACATTTGAGAGTTATCGATCTTAAATAAGCAAGCGGGAAGTTAACAGAATGATTCCATGTTAAGATATAATGCAATGCCCACGAAGGACATAATTTAAAGTTCTACTGTGATGACATTAAAGGACTAAAGTAAACCATCCTGACAGATCAGTTCAGATATAAGAGTTGCACCTGCTGCAGCTATATAGTACAACAACATACCTAGTGCATTCCCACAAGTGGGGTCTGGATGCAGCAGTAAATAATAATTTGACGAGGGAAAAAGTAAAAGAACCTTTAACCTTATCAAAAAAAGAAAGTAAAAGCAAAAGAACCTTTAATCACATGAAGCAAACATATACATCATTTACACTTAAAATTCACCAAGTCTATCTGAATCCTCACATCTTTCCGCCAACTTAAAATAGATACATTAGGTTTTCCTTACAGCCACCCCCCTTCTTTCTCAAACTCATGGTTAAAAGCGTTTTATACTTATTAATATTCCAATGGGAAGTCTCACCTTTTCTCTCTTGTATAACTCCAGGTGTAATATAATCAGAAATGCCACAAACATAACACATCAATCAACCACAATACAATCCCAAATTAATTGCGGTCGTTATATAAATCTCAACCAGTTCCACCTTTCTTTTTTGATAGGGTAAAGTTTTATTAAGAAACGGTACCAAGACAGTACTGCAGCAAATACAAAATCCCAACCAGTTCCACTCTAATTTAGTCTTCAGAGGTGTATCATAATTCGACTATAACCTACCGGAAACCCACACTCTTTATCCATAGTTGGGACCTGGAAATACCATTATTCACAAAATTTCAACTTAAAATGAAAAGGACTTCACCAACTTCATGTACCCTCAAGCAGGTACAGGAGGTAGGAACACATTGCCAACCAAGAATTTGGATAAAAATGAAGCTCCAAGATGAGTCTAGGGCATGCATAATTTTAAGTGATTATTTTTCATTGAAACAAACAATTATTTTGGAGTCCAATAACAAGCTCTCATACGAGCTCCTGGCAATTCATTTCGTAAACTATGGCCATTTTTGATTCTACAATATTTTCTCCATTAATGACTCCAGATTCTTTCATTTCATATACAGATCATTTCCTTCCCGAGTGCATTGACGGTGCGCTTTAACAATATATTGAAGAATGAGGGGCAAAGCGATTGAATGTGATCAAGAAAGATCTTTTCTTCTTCTTATATATAAGATAAGATTGTGTTTGGATCTGCATATGTTTGGTAACGATTTTGCGAGTTTACAAGCTCATAATTAAAACTCTTGAATGATCAAAGACCAAAATTATATCATCAGCAACATTTTCATCAAAAAATTTCAGTTTTTTCACCAACTTCATGTACCCACAAAAAATGGCCAACCAAGAAATAGGAAAATGAAATGAAAATCTATAGTGAGCGTAGATATGGGTAAATTTAGGTGCTTTTTTTGTGCATTGAAACAAAATTTATTTTGAAGTCAATTGCGAGTTGAGAAGCTTATAAAAAAAGCTCAAGTAATCTAAGACTAAACAAACAAAATAAAAGCACGCGCGCACACACACACACATACAGAGTGAGAAAAAATGGATTACGCGATCACCGATATTGCACTCGTTCTTCTCGTCATGAGCCATGAATTTGGAGGTGCGCTTCACATATCGATTGTAAAGCTTGTTGTGGAAAAGCCGATCGACTGCCACCACTACTGATTTCTGCATTTTGTTTGACACTACTCTCCCTACCACCGGCTTCATCGCAATTACAGAGCTAAAACCACCGTCCACGGCCTAAACCCTGCAATGTCGACTGTGACGACGCCGTTAAATTTTGGATTTCGTTTTTCACTAATAAATTCATATATTGGTGACCATCTTCCCTTAAGTTTGCAATAAGTGGCTTTTTTAGATCCACGTAATTTGTTCTGCTCTACATTATCAACCCTTGTTATTATTATATAAGGGCGTAATGACTTTCTCGCCACTTAAACTTGTATAACTTTTGAAAGTCGATATTCAAATTTTCGTCTTTCCCATTTAAACACTCAAACTTAGGGCTATGCATAATTTGGTAAATACCGAATTACCGTACCGAAATCGAAAATTTTGGTATTTGGTATACGGTATTTTGGTATTTGGTTTAAGTTTTAAAAAATTAATATTAGGTTTGGTATTTGGTATTTTAAAATAAAATACCGAAATACCAATACCGTAGCGAAATATATATATTATATTACACAAAACATCTATTATCAATTATAACATAAATATAAAAAATCTAAAATTTTACTTTCCTTTATTCTCTAAATTCATCAATTAACTCTAAATAGGTAACAAGACATTTCTAATGATCAAATATTCTTTTATATACAATTTTCTCTATTTGGGTCCATATTTGCTAGTTTTGGACAAAATTTTTGTCAACAAACATTTTCATTTTGTATTTTTGGGTATTTTCATTAAGAATATTAGAGTTTATGGCTCTATGCACTAGTTAGTATTCAAACCGAATAAACCGAAGTTACCGAACCGAATAAACCGAAACCGAAAGGAGAAAATCCGAACCATACCGAATTTTAATTAGGTACGGTATTGGTATAGGATTTTAAGAAACTGAATACCGAACCGAAATGTCTAAATACCGTACCGTACCGACCGACGGACATCCCTACTCAAACTCGTGAAACCTATAACTAATAAACACATTTGACCGTTGACCCATCTCATGTGGCGTTAGTTGGTCCTAGTCAGCCTGCTGCGTGAGTCTCACGACGTTTAGGAGCGTGAGAGCCCTCTTCCCAACGCCCAACGGTAAAAAATGGGGCCTATTTAAGTGGGTTCTTATTCCTTCAATGTAAAACACATTATCCCTCTATTCCCTCTATTATATAGCATTTGAAGCTTCATTCCTTCATAAATCTGAAGCTTTCTTTATTTTTTTTTCTTTTTCCAGACTGTGATAATGAATCAAAGTCTTGTATTTTGTCATTGTGGAGTTGAAGCTCATATTTGCATCACTTGGAAGCCAACAAATCCGGAAGAAGGTTTTATGGGTGCTCAAACTATGGTCGAGCCAATTCTTGTAATTTTTTTAGGTAGTTTGACCCACCTCTTTCAGATCACTATAAACAGGTAATTTTAGGGTTGTTATCAAGAATTAGAGAGAGAGAGAGATCGACTACGGCGTAGGAAGAGGGTGAAAATCATTGTAACTTTAGTTGTTGTAGTAGCACTAATAATTATAATTTTCTTCTTAGTCTAGTTAGCACTAATTAGTATCTTCATAACCCTATGTACAATGATAATGATAGAATGAATGATGTATTTTTTGTGGAATGAAAAGCAATTTTGACATAAACAAGCACACATATATAAACAACCAAGTTCAATCAGCCTTCTTGGTTGACAAAATTAGCACTGAATTGCTGCCTAGTAGCAGAAATAGTTTAAACATTGTTCCAAAAGAAAAGTCATACTAAAACAGACTTAAGTTAACCTACAAATTAAGTTCTGCAACTAACAGACTTAAGTTATCACAAAAAACAAACATTCAGTCATCTTCAAGGTTGAGATTGGTTGATGTTTTGCTGAGATTGGCTCAAGTTTTGACATGGAGACTGGCTTGGCTGAGATGAAGAATGGACTTGAGGTTGGCTAAGGCTTGCTTGAGTTTATCTTCTCCTCAACTGTTGTTGAAGTTGCCTTTGCGATATAGCATTTCTTCCTTGCCACCTTAGTCCAGGTGCACTATATCCAAGATCGATATTGGTCTGCCCATTATCCACTACTTTTGTAGGAGCAGAATGTACCATATCTCTTGATCCACACTGCATAGGAAGCCAAATTAGCACCCAAACTACTAATATATAAATAAAAATTCAAATCCTCAATGATCTTACCCTTTCCATCACTGTTCCTGTATCACTAAACAATATACCAAATCCAGTAGTTCTTGGTCTTCCTCAAAGTCCACTACCTCTTGGCCTTCCTTTAACACTAGCTATAATATCCTCAGAAGTTCTTGATCTCATACTTCCAGTATCCTGATGTAAGATAAAATACTATCTAGTAATTTAAAAATCATGGTCCTAATATAGATTAACTAAAGTAAAAAATGAATACTTACAGATGCACTTCAACAACTGATGGTTGAGTATTTCTAGTCCTGACAGTTCCAGAATCACTTGTAGGACCTGATTGTTGAGTTGTTGTTTGAGCAGCATGTGATGGTTGAGTAGCACCGGCATTACTGGTTCCTGCTGTTCTAGATCCTTGTACTTTCTGAAATTTCCAAAATATAAAATGAGATATAGAAACAACCAAATTACAAGACACAATCAGAAACAAATTGAATTCATTACCAGGATAGGACACTCTTTCTTGTTATGGCCTATTGTTTTACAATTAGAGCATGTCATTGGTATCCCTTTCCTTGATCTCCTACCAAACTTTTTTTTAGGTTCATCTTGAGCTCTTTTTCTATTTTTCTTAGGTCTACCAGGTATCTTGGTAATTATAGGAGGCTCAACAGTTGGATTCTGTGTTGATGGCCACATCTCCATGTTGGTTACTGGCTGTATGTAACAACTAACAACCTTTAGGTATGTTTCTTTCCTGTACCAGTGGGTTACATAGTCAGCAGGCACAAATCTCTTAAAAACATTGCACATATTGCATGGGAGCATGATATTTCTTTGAGCTGCCATGCTCTATATGTGCATGTATTGTTGGACAAGTCAACAATATATTTGTAAACCCCATGTTGTATCTCATACCCAGTGTCCCCATTCTATTTAAATTCATGCTTAACAGCATATTGAGATTGTTCCTCTCTGTACCCCATTGCCATAGGAGATACATCAGAAATCCACCTTGTTGCAAATTCTCTCATGCTAGTCATCCTCTCCATCACCTTGACTCTAATCTCTTTTAATATGGTTATGATAGACTTGTGCCTAGCAGACAAGATCCAATTGTTAAAGCTCTCACACATGTTGGTCTCCACAGAATCACATTTACTCCAATCTTTGAAGAATGCTCTACACCAACATTATTTTGGGTATCTCAGCAAGTCCTCAATGATCTTACTATCACCTAATTCTGCCAGCTCATCTATCTTAGCCTTCAAATATGCTACAAATGAAGCCCTTGCACAGGCCAAGAACTTCTTCCTTCTTTCTTTTCTTTTCCACTTTTGTTTCCAGTTGCTCCATATGTGTTTTGCACACATTTTGTGCTCAACATTTGGCAATAACTCAGAAACAGATGTAACAAGTCCCTTAAGCAACAAGAAAAACAATTAGAATATCAGAAACATATATAAAGTAGACAAGTAATTAAAGGAAGAACAGGGGTGAAGTATATACCTTCTGCATATTAGAAATGATGGTCAGCCCTCACCTTAGGATTTTGTGAGCTGCAGATCATGTATCAAGCATCTAAAAAACCATGACCATGTGTGCTTTGTCTCCTTTTCAACCACTACCCAGGTAACAAGGTACATTCGGTTGTTACCATCTTTACCAATACATGATAGTAGCTCACTCTTACACACACCCTTCAAAAATGCTCCATCAAAGCCAATAACATTTCTACATCCTTCAAACCAAGCCACTTTGCAATCATGTAGACAAATACAAATACCCACAAATACCTTTTTACCAAGTATTTTTGGAGGTCTTCACAACAACAGTGCTGCCAGGATTTGTAGACCTCAACATGTCAGCATAATCATATATTCTAGCAAACTCCTTCTTGTAATCACCAAGATACTTACCCATGACCTGATGTTTAGCCCTAGCATATATGGATTTTTAATCACTAAGATACTGACCCATGACCTGATGTTTAGCCCTGGCATATATGGATTTTCCCACATACACACCATACTTTATCATAATCAAATCTTGCAACTTCCTAAGCTTTATGTCAGGTTGGTTGATAATCTTGTCCTTGAAATATTTAGCTACCCATGCTGTATTAGCCATCTTGTTTCTGGTTGCTCTAAAACACTTATGAATAGGGTAGTAGCTGCTGACAATGAAATCCCCTGTGTGTCCCTCCAAACTTCCCAAAATATGTCATCTACATCTTATTGAGTTCACACATTTTGCCCTAACCATATGTTGCTCATTAGGCCTCAACTTAATTTGAACTCTTCTTTGTACAACATAATCTTGCAAAACAGATTTGAACTGCTTCACATTTTCAAACACCATTTCCAACTGGATTTTTTTTTCTTACAAGCAGGATCAAAGTATACCGTGCTACTGTATCTTCTTAGTTGAGGGTTGTGCACCCCATCTTCTTCAACTACTTCATCATCTGTATCCTCACTACCTGGATCTGAACTGTCCAGATATTGCTCATCCCCTCCCAACTTTCCATCATAATTGGATCCCCTGTCTTTATACATGTCTCCAAAACCAGGGTCTATACCTACAGGTCCACTAGGTATCTCATTAGTATTAATTTCACTAGATCTTAATTTACTACACTTTGCATTCACTGTAGCCTGTCTGACAACAACAACTTCAGGTTCTAGGTCACTTGTCTCTCCAACAATATCCTCATCAGAACCATATAATGACTCATCTGTATCATCATCTTCAGAAATAGCCTCATAATTTTTATCCTCACTCTCAGTACTTAGCTCACCACCCTCAGCATCACCCTCAAAATCAGTTGCTAAATGAAAGTTATAGAACTCACCTTCATATTCACTAGACTCTTCTGTTTCAGAATCACTTTCAGCAGCCCTCTCTTTACCCTTCCCATGAGTGTTATCACCCCTATTTATATCATTGTTAGGTGAGTATATTGCCCTAGCATTAACATCACTTGTTTGCCCATGTGACCTTTTATTAAAGCCAAATGGCTGAACATTAGTGGGACCCACATTTATACTAC